GTAGTTCTTCAAGTTTATAAACTATCGGTTTTGTTATGCCATCAGACATATTAAGTTTATTTTAAATTCATAATACTTACCTCCATATTGTCACCGAATTAGACTTACTTCTACTTACACCAATATTACGATTTAATTGATGTTCTAATATTTCAGACACCATCCTAATATCAATGTACTGACAAACAGTGGATTTTAAGCTGTCCTCGCCAGCAAGAAGTAAAGCAAATTAAGGAAACTGACTTTTCATTCAAACATGTACTACTTTTAAGGGCACCTTTACATACATTCCACATGTATGGAAGTCTATATCATTTCCTTTAACAGGTTGGACAGCTGAGGCAAAGTAAGGAGGTTCACAAGGTTGAAATGATAAAACATAGTTGAACTCTGGTGACCATGCCCATGTTATATAATATCATTCCCTTCATCATAGTTTGTTTCAATATGAATATGCATTGTCATAATTAATTTTGAATACAAACAAGTTTTGGGGTTGAAACAACAGTGGGAAAGCAGTTTACCAAATGACCTTGATAGATGTAAATATCTTACAAAAACATTGGTGCCTAATTTGTTTAATTATTTTAAGGGACATAATTTCCAGCTATATTCAAAGTAATTCAGAGTTTTTATTATAAAACAAATGACTCATCTCAGAAAACAAGAGTTGGCAGAGCCATCTCGATGCTGGGAAAATAAGAGTATTTAAAGGTGTATTTTGGAGCAATGGATTGGTGAACAGACAGAAAAGCAATTTCAAACACTTTGTTTTAATGTAAACTTGAAGTATACATGAGGGTAGGTATGATTTATTTATTTTGGAAACTCAATTTGTTAACTGAAGGAATTAAACTAAATTAAATAATCATGATAGAAATTACTACTGTTCAACTCTGGACGTTTAATTGTACTTAGTGTATGTTACTATGACAATCAACCAAACAGACGACAAAGACTAAATGCATGGTCACAGCCAAATCGCTGTTTAATTGAAATAAAAAAAATCAAAGAAAACAGAGGACTCTAAGACAGAAAGAGAAACACGAGCAATGTAGTCGAACAGGCATTACGGCAACCATGTTTGTTTCACCTCAATCAATACAGTATTACCCACGATGCACTATTCCCATGTGTAGGTATGTGGAAGGTCATAGCCAAGCGTACTGCGGTCAAGAACAAGGTAAGAAATTACGTGACGAGACCATCCCGATTTGCCGTTGATTTCCGGGTTCAGTGCTTTTCATACAAGAAGATCGATATGAACTACACCGCCGAGTGTAGTAGACATAATCCCGAAGGCAATAGGAAGTTCGAAGGAAGCCAATACAGTTGATTATAACAGACAAAGTAAATGGAAATCACTTTTCAGTCCTCGTTGAGGCACAAACATATTTAAATGAGAGACAATGACAACTCCACGTTGTGGCAGATTTAATACACACTACTACAGTTCAACTAAAGTTTACAAACACCACGGTCAGTCACACAAAGTCCCCCAAATTCAAAAGGGATTTTTAAACGCACCGGGGAACACGAGACGAACAATTGTGCATACTTAGATGACGACTCCACGGGCAGATTTACATAATACTACAGTTCAATTACATGGCCAGTCACATAAAATCCATCAAAAGGGAGCTGCAAGTCGTATAATGCCAAAACATCTTTCGAAATACGTTCGCTTTTATCAATGTCCACTGTTCAACAGTTTAATGTCTTCCCATTCGCAAGAACACAAAGCCTAAACTATCAGAACACATAATTCGAGTGATGGTATAACAAAATAACTCATCATTGGTAAATTAAATCCGTCGAAAAAGTATAAGGAACATTTTTATAAACAATTTTCAATTATATAAATACACTTTGCAAAGAAACAAGATTCATAATCATGCACACGTGTGAGTACTTCGGTGACACATTTTATAACTACGCCCAAAATAGTCCATCATTTATTATTTAACTGTGACCACATGACATCATTCTGTTAACATCCACACATTTTCATAAAATCTCCATGCACTTTTTGACCATTCATAAGTAAAATACACTACAATTTACTCCAGAAAAACAATTTTCTTAGTACATTCCTACATTCTTGCATACTAATGGGGGAATTCAGACACATTCCAAGCTGAACAATTTTCTTGGATTAATAACAAAGCTGGTCAATCCTTTCCCAGCAAAAAGTGTTGCTTTTAGACTAAACAGATTTTCTAGTAGCTGCAGATCTTGATCAAAGTTTGGCACTCAATTTATAGGAGTGCTTATCTTGTTTTCTGTAAAGATTTTATACTGATGAATAAGGTGACCAAGTTTGAACACAATAACAATTATTGACGACAACGACGACGATGACAGTGCCAGACAGAAGTGTTTCCCTTAATATACCTTTCCTTTCCATCTTTGATGTTACGGGCAAGGTAAAAATGAACCCCAGTAGACAGAACACAAGTAAACCATTTGGCCCCCAGTAGACAGAACACAAGTAAACCATTTGGCCACCAGTGAGCATAACTAGATCAGTCCAAAATGGCCACCAGTAACCAAGGGGGCCTGCAGTAACCAAGAGGGCAACCAGTGGACCAAGAGGGCAACCAGTGGACCAAGAGGGCAACCAGTGGACCAAGAGGGCAACCAGTGGACCAAGAGGGCAACCAGTGGACCAAGAGGGCAACCAGTGGACCAAGAGGGCAACCAGTGGACCAAGAGGGACATCACTGGCCCAAACTGGACATGACAAGTAAACCACAATGTATTCAACAAAAATGGCCAACAATGGAAACAAGTGGATGGCATCAAAATGGGTACTTGTAGACAAAACTGAAGTTGACTATAATGCCCATTATTGAACCAAACTGGACAGGACCTAAATAGTCACCTATGGTTTTAAACATGTACACTGTGTCATTAATTGAAGCTGATCACCTGATAACAGCAAACAGTTTGGGTTATTGGTGGCCATCTCAGTTCTATTCAGCTTTGTTCACTGGTGACCATTAGAGTTTGGTTTATTGGTGGCCATCTTAGTTCTATTCAGCTTTGTTCATTAGTGACCATTAGAGTTTGGTTTATTGGTGGCCGTCTTAGTTCTATTCAGCTTTGTTCACTGGTAACCATTAGAGTTTGGTTTATTGGTGGCCATCTTAGTTCTATTCAGCTTTGTTCACTGGTGACCATTAAGTTTGGTTTATTGTGGCCATCTTAGTCTATTCAGCTTGTTCATATGACCATTAGAGTTT